AGATTTCTTGGCGAGAAACAGTTGTTAAAAGATGGAAGTTGACCCAGGCGGATCAAGAGATGACGCAGTTCCACATATTAAGGGGAAAGAGCTCAGCGGTGTCGGAAACCAAGCAGAAGCAGAAAACATGGGTCCACTGACGCAGATGTCATCGGAGCAGAAAACCATTGAAATACTGATGCTGAATATAGTCGACCAGGCGAGGCAGATCCGATACCAGACAGCCAAAATTGACAGCCTGACCGCCCAGGTAACAATATTAGTAAACTCAAAAGAATCCCCTAAAGAACGGGCAAACACTCCAGAAAGACTACTGAGAAACGTTACTGATGATCATTTCACATCCACAGATGAAAACGTATAGACCGACGGATTTGTAAAAGCTAAATCAAGAAGGAGGAAATGCAAGGCCGATAAGCCAACCCAAGACTCCTCTTCCGAATACAGGATCAATTCCATTTCACACCTCCCCCACTTCCTCAAATCGAAACACCTTTAATGCCTCTACTAACAAATCATTGACATCGCAGGGATCACATCATCCACCTCTTAGGTAACTCTGTCGGCCGATGATACTTCTCCGTCATCCAACCACCGTGGCATCAACACAACCCTCACGCCAAGGGCGCGTGACCTCGATCGTTTTACGCGACGGGGCGAGGTAGCGTAGTTTAAATTTCAAGTTCATTTACCTAGGTATTAAAATAGATCGCGCGGTTGCTGTCGATGCTGGAATAAGGATTATTCCTAAATACGAGGACGACTACAGTGAGATCATTAGTTTGTTCCGAGAGGAAGAAGTACCCCATCACACTTCTCCTCTCCCTTCGGAACGGAACATCCATGCAGTAATTCGATTAATTTTTTGGATACTGAGATTAAGGAAGAACTTGAGCAGAGGAGATATAGCCCTATCCACATCATTCGATTAAAGCGCACCGCCGGAGCGCTCATGCCTTTGGTGGTCGTGATACTACCCAAGACTGAAGAGTCTCAGCAAGTGTTCAACGAACACAAACTGGCCATCCAAGTTGAGGTTCAGAAGAACTCCAGACTCATTGGACAGTATCACCGCTGCCAAAAGTACGGCCATCTGCAGTCACTCACAGAAGAAAGACCGCAAGTGCGCGCACTGTGGAGAGTGACATCCCGCAAATAGCCGGACTTGCAAGTTTACTCCAAGGAGGAACTTGCAGGTTATAGCGCAAAAGCGCAAACTGTCATACGCGGACGCAGCAAGCGAGGCAACCTTGCCTGCGCCATCTGCCCAACCGTCCTTGAGCACACAAAATGTGGACCTGACAGCCGCGCTAAGGTCTTTACAACAAATAAGCCCACTGATTAGCGCTACCCAAGCGCTGCAGGCGACAATTTCTGTAAATGTCTAGGAACAATAGTAGACAGCTTGCATTCATCAAAACTCTTTTTGGAATTGTTAGGGCATAAGGGATATTCCCAAAAAAACGGGAACTTCATCAAGCTCTTTTGGATGGAAGTATAGATGTGGCCTTGCTGCAGGAAACGTTGCTTAATCCAGAAGACCGTTTAGCTCTCCCGAATTATGATGTTATCAGATTGAACGGTCGAGGTGGCGGTTTAGCAATGTTGATTAAGCGCGGTATTTACTATTATAGAGGCACCAATTAGGAGATGCATAGCATCCAAGCAGCTTCTGTGGTAGTCCATATGGTGGGAGGTATCTCGATGAAGATCACATCGGTGTATGTCAGGTGTCTTGCTATGCTACAAGAGGCGGATCTGGAGGTCCTTTTGGACTACTCGGGTCCGCTTATTGTGGCAGGGGTTTCAGCTGCAAACATCGAGCATGGAATGCTAGGTTGAATTCCACTAGTGGGATTCGATTGTACAACCATGTGATGCGAAATGGGTACCTTAGCATGGGTACATAGCACTGAAAAGCCGACACACCATCCATTCAATCATCCTCAGGCACCAGATGTCATTGACTTCGCGATATCTAAAAACTGTAGATACAGTATCTCTTCTCGAATCTTGTATATCTCTAGTGATCATCTACCTGTTGTCTTGGATGTGGGCAATGAGCAAACTTCTGAGGAGGAAGCTCCTTCAAGGAAAATTATTGATTAGGAGCTATACAAACTGCTCCTTAGAGAGTTCCGCAATATCCCAATCATAGATGATGAGTGGAATAGATGCCGCTCAAGCAGAGTGGACAAGTTTCATTCAAACAGCTTTACAGCGTGCACCTGTACTTCCTGTACAACGACCAGGCAGAACTTTTTTGCTTGCAGACATTCGTCAGAAAATCCCTGACAAGAGAGCCGCTATTATGCAAGCAAAAAGATCTCGTCATCCTGATGACATTTGTAGGGCTACAAATCCTGTCCATGAAGTGAGAAACTCACTGCACGAATACCGTAACGAGCAATGGTGCGATTTTCTGGCGGGAATGCTTGATTCAAGTATTTCTCTCTGGAGGGTGGCAAAGACACTCAGAAACGGAAAGCGAGATCAGTTCCCGCACATCCATGGTCCTGAAGGCATTGTCTTCAGAACGGAGGATAAGGTCGAGGGTTTCGCTGAAGCCATGGAAAAACAGTTCTCTCACAACTATGATCTTGATAATGACCTTGACGAAGAACAACACATCGTACGATACGTCAGGAGATATTTTAGGGCCAACGACGTTAGCGGAGACACTGAATCCTCTTCAGATGACTCTTCTTCAGAAGATTTGTCTAAGGCTCCACATACAGATTAGCGGAACCCCCCGACATTGCACACCAGCGGAGCTCCTAAATCATATCAAAGACCTCAAGGTGCGTAAAGCAATCACCAACAAGGCGTTGAAGCTGCGCTCGCCGAGAGCTCTGGCATATTTGGTGACAATAATCAATGCGATGCTCAGCATCCAGTACTTCCCTGCTGGGTGGAATACTGCTGAGGTCATCATGATTCCAAAGTAGGTGGGTTCGATATTTCCTTAGAATTACCGTCCCATTAGTCTGCTGTCAGCTCCTTCTAAGCTCGCCGAAAAGGTGATTTATCGCCACCTTGAAAATTTTTCTTCAAATCACCATGTGATTCCTGACGTTCAATTCGGTTTTCGATCCGAGCATAGCACCGAGCTACAGGCAGTCAGGCTGGCAGAACATGTAACCAGAGGGTTTATCCTCAGTATTAGACATTTTGCTTTTGGATGTCTCAAAAGCCTTTGACAAGGTGTAGCTCGCGGGCCTCTTCTATAAACTAATCCAAAAGTGTTTTCCTTTTTGGCTTCTAAAATTACTGAAATCCTTTCTTGAAGAAAGGAAGTTTCAGATCAAAATTAACAATGTTTTGGCAACAACACGGCCAGTTCAAGCCGGTGTTCCTCAGGGCTCGGTTCTAGGATCAATCCTTCATTCGCTTTTCATCCATGATGTCCCTTGCCCCAGCAACTGTGATGTCTACCCCTATGCTGACGACACTGCACTTGTCGTCCAGTCGTGTACTGGTAATCTGGTTCACAATGGGTTGCAGGGTGTGGTGGAAGAAGTACTAGAGTGGGCGGAACGGTGGCTGATTAAAATGAATCATTCGAAAACGTAGGCTATTTATTGTACCAAAAAACGTCGCGGCCCCCCAGCAGAGGTTTCTCTAGACGGCAATCGTGTACCATGGACAAATTCTGCCAAGTATCTCAGTGTCACCCTTGATAAAGCCATGACCTGGCAGAAACATACAGCAGCCTTGAAAACAAAATTCCAAATTGCGTTTCGGCAACTATATCCTTTGTTATGTAGATCCTCCAAATAGAATTTGATGAACAAAATTCGCCTATATAAAATAATTATTAGACCAGCCATTACTTATGCATGTGCGGCTTGGTGTTTTCTTGCCAAGACACACAAGTCTTCAAGTGCTGCAAAGCAGAACTTTGCGAACAATTTGCAACGCTCCATGGTATGTCTCAAACGAGACACTACACAGAGACCTTGACATTCCTTACTTGAGGGATTATGTCAAGCTTCAGGCGGAGCGACGTTATCGTCAAGCGGAATTGCACAGCGAAGCAAGTTCGTAAGCATTCAAGGCCACGGCTCGCACTGTAATAAAAAGTTAGCGCGAACTTTTAGTAAACATAAAATTACACTGTAGCAAAACCGAATCCAACTTTGTTTACTTCCTCTCAAAATTAGTCCGTGTACCAAGTCAAAAGCCTGGGGGTTTCCTCTTAAACTAAACACTTCTGTTTTTCTTTGCTCTCCTCCTTTTTTCTTCTCTTTCCCTTTCTCTTTTTCCTTGACATTATCTGGTTTCTGGGCAGCTAGGACTGAGAGATTCGACTAACGTACATTAGACAGTGACTAATAGGCAAAAGTCCTACGGACCGCCCATACAAACAAATGACGAATAGTACGTCATGGAGTTGTATTCATCAAAAATCTTGGAGCTTTAGAGTCTAAAATCTCTCAGCATGCGAACATAAGTTTCTGAATTAACAGTTACAGATTGCCTGCTGTCGATTTCAAAAAAAGTAGGGTCCAATCAAACCGCTAGCTGATATTGTTGCCCAAACCGTGATTTTTTGGCAATGAAGTGTTTTTTGATGCTTCAGCGACGCGACGGCTGCTCCGCACTCCAGTATCGACAGTTTAGATGGTTCACAAAACCGTCCAAATGAAAGTGTGCCTGGTCTAAAAAAAGGATGTTCGCCAAGTCACATAACCGCTCCAACACTAACACTGAAAATTCTAATCTCTTTGTAAGGTCAGTGTCCTTTAATTCGTAGACGATTTGTCCCCTATATGGATGAAGGTTCAAGTCACACTACAACATTCGTCTCGAACTCATACAAGCAATACTCAATACTGGATCGATAGATTCACTCACTGCCTCTTTTCTTTTATCCTTTCGTACAGTCCGCGGCGACCTTGACTTATTCTTGGCAATCAATATTTGACTGGAAATAAACGTCGCATAGTGACATGAGAACAGTTGCATCACGAAGGAGTGCTGCTCATAGCTACTGAAAATGCATAAATCATGCGATTGAATGGTACTGCCGTCCAGTGTTTCCGCCCGCGCTTCGCGGTTTTATTTAAAAAGCAAAGGTGAGTTTTATTATGGCCCATCCTGTGGAAAAATAAAATGGTGCACAATATCAGATTAAAATCTGATAGCGCCGCTCCCGGGGTTATTCATTTGAATACAACCAGTACAAATTAAGTACCTTTATGTCTATCGATGACTCACAGAGTTTTGTCTAAATCACTCAAGTAGTATAGAAGATACAGAAGATATTAAAAATATCATTAGACGGAATGACAGACTTTTTTGTCCAGTTTAATGAGATCTATCAGCTGGTATTTTATAAACCTTAACAGCTGCATAGTAAAATAAATGGAATATAATGAAAATTAAAGACAATTAAGAATCAAAGCCGCACAACAAAGTTAATGGGTAAATCTGTCAATATGCAGTATTTTAAGTGCATTTCAAGAAAGCTATCGGAAATTCATTCAGTGGATCCTGGTTTAGACCTAAAAGCACTTCACTAATATTTCTCTGAATAATCAGTACTTGTGTACAGATAGCAGCCAATAGGCTGAATTAAAGGGTGTGGCAGCAAAAACGTGCAAAGGAAAGACTACCACGTTTGCGAGCCACAACCCAAGATCGCTATTCAACATCGTTAACTTTACGAGATAGAAAGTTTGCCTAGGAACATCAGAATTTTATAGCAAGCCACTGAATGCGTGCAGTATATCGCTCTTCGGGTTCTTTGATGGTGGGTACTGCCTATCACCGCTGACCACCATCACCAGTATTACATTGTCGAATAATGGCGTGATTATATGGGTACGTTTACCCAGAGGTCGAATAAGTTCAGTGCCTAGCCTGTAGCGGTGAGGATTTTTGGATGTTGGCTCTTTGGAGCGAATAAGTATGTGATATACGAGTATCTCTTTTAGTATGGTGCTTCAGTGTTAACTAATATATTCAGTTGGAGGATTAAGGCGGCCATACATTGGAGAAATGTGCTAGGGCGAATTTCAGGGTAAGTTAGCATATCTTTGTCATGAATCCAGAATAAGGTGCTCTGGCTGTAATTGATGATAACAAAGTATAAAAATGAGTCATGAAAGTACAATTTCGGAGGGTCACTTCCTCTAGGTGAGAACCAGACATGAAAAAAATTCTTTCCTTGCATCTATGTCCAAATACACTTCTTGAAACAGTGGGACTACTTTTATCCAAATATCTCCAGATTATGATTTTGCTTCTGACTAAGGATTTTCTATGAAATTAATTAATGGAACTTTAGCATAGTTGTAAAACAGATTGGTATTTCCATGGAAAATTGATATCTATACAAAATTATTATTAAAAGTAGTCCTGAATTACTGAAAGCCAGCCACAAAGCGGCTTGCAATCAAGAGCACCAACTGCCTGGAATCACAACCCTTCTGGGATATTTACTAGTGGAGCCCGAGTATTTCAACATTGTCATATTTTGAGCTCAGCCATGCATATCCTGTGATTGGTTCTATAATCTCTCCCCTGCTAATGGCCAATTATTACATACATCATTGTCTACTTCACAGAATCGGATTAAAGTTGCTGATGCATAAACAGCGGTCATTTTCACAAAAGCAAAACATGTTAGTTGAAAATGATTGACGGGTATTCACGGTAACATGGTTTGTCCGTTTGAAAACTCTGAAATTTTTCAAATACAAAATTTACATTTGTTACGTTGTCGATAAAATACAGTCTCCACAAAGCAAAATACGGCCAACCCTAAATTGCAATATATTATGTTTTACGCAAGAACAACGCAGTTCCCTTGCCTATGAGATGTCCGGGAATCCTTGGTGAATTAAAAAGTAATCTAAAGTTTGGATAGCATTTAGACTACTCAACATTCTCATATTGTCAAGAGCCATAGTACGTGAGATTCTCAATCATAGCATGACTACTTAAAATGAAAATTTGTTCCACAGATTCTAGATTCAGCCTCTGACAGCCATTTGAATTTACTGATGTCAAAAGCCACTATGACTGAACTATGAAATCATGTGTTTACCTCAGCTCTTACCTAGTTCTCTCGTCCATGTGCAATGCTATGGGATTGCCACATATCACGTTTTGTTATTGAACTCTCTAAGCGTACACCGTTATTTCTATCACGTGGACGTACACCCATTTGCACAACTCACGTGTGCGCCAATGCCAACCGCCGTACTGTTGCAATTATTCAAATTATTTATTCTTCGATAGTCTCAATGCCAATTACCAGTAAGCCTAAGCGAATACATAAATTCCTCGTATGACTGTATCTTTGGTATGATGGTCTCTATTGTTATCTTTAACAATAAATCCTTGATCAATTATGTGTCTCTTATAATTACGAGAAAAAAAAATCAAAATAGTTACCAACCACTATTTTGAATGTACTTAATAGGCTCTATGACTGCATGTTGTGATTGCGATCCAGAGCTTGGACTACTACCAAAACATTTTTTAATGTAGTAATTTCATGAGACTGAGGGAAGATTCAATTAAGGAGATTATCAGATTTATTCCACATGTCGGCTTCTGGTGCCTAGAAAAACTTGCTTTTGCTCTAAGTGGCAGAAGATTTACTGTATCTCCAAGATCGAGAAAATGCGTCTTACGTGTAGAAGTTTACTCATGTAGAATTTCTTGTTAAGCGTGTATTCTTTATGGAAAACCTATTTTAAAGGTCAAGAAACTATCGAAAAAGATCAATCTGCGCTAGTTTATTTATCGAGACTGCGTAAGCCAATCTTCTTTGCAAAGTTTTACCAAATAGCCGTTTATTTTGGATATTTAAGTCCAAATCACCGATTACTTTATCTGGCACGAATTCATCTCGTCAATAGTGGCAGCTATTCAGAAAAAGCTAGGCCATTTGTTTAAGGCTAAGAAGTAAGGCTTCACTCCGTACAAGGACCAGGTAAGATTTACACTCAAGTACTGTGCATATGTTTGAGGTACTTCCACCCCGACTGCATTATCCATGTTCGATGCGGTTCAGAGGGGGGCTGTACGACTTATTGCTGACTCTTGTCTCAGGACGTCGGTGACCTAGCTTCTCCCCTAGCGCTACGCTACTCGAAGTTCTCCTCCATGATGCTACCGTGTGATGTTTCTCCCAGATAGGCCCGCCTAATTTCGACCACCCATCCTAACCGTATCGAACTTCGTACATCTAGAACGGGCCGATACGACCGCTCCTTTATTCCTAGGGTATCGAGATTGTGAAACAATCTACCTGTGGAAACTTTTCCCAGTTCTACTAACATGAGGTAGTTCAAAAACCAGATTACCAAAGTTTCTTCAAGCTCCTCATACCAGCCGCGGCATGAAAAAAATAATAAGATATACCTGTACCCATCTTAGATTGTCTGTCTGCAATACCAAAAACACTACATACATATAATTTATTTAGGTTTCCTACACATAGGTTTGTTGGAGAATTGATTTCATGTGCGGCTAACTTAGTCTGTTCATAGGAAGAATAGAACAGTTCGTGGTAATAACTGTTGTTGCACTTATGATTATCATTACCAATTTTGTTAATTCTTGTCTGAACAAGTGCATTATTTTCATTGCTTATTCACGTTCTGTCTGATTAGCTGCTTAGTGGATATACGGAAAGACAAGCCATATAGAAATGCTTCTTCCAGTCTAAATTAAAACCTGTAATATGTAGTAGCCTTGAAGATTATTCTAGTGACATGTTTCGGTGAAATAATGCACATAAATTAATGAAGGCGAACACTATAACGATTAAAGTGTAGCTTATAACAAGGACACGTCTTGAAACGTCCTCACTCTTTTTCACGTCTTCAATTTTTTAGAGCCTACAAACGTAGAAACCGTCTTATCGATCACAGTTCATGGGTGCAACATATTCAAATTACACTTCGCGGTATTGCATTTACCTTAAGAACACATCGTTTTGAGATTATTCAAGGCTGATATGCCAATGCAAGCAACTGAGTTTAATATGAGCATATGATTCAGCGTGTTGTGAAAGACAGCAGATTTATTGTTTGAAGATCAAACGCCCTCCTAGAAACGTGATTACTGAATGCCATACATGAACACACCTATTAATTATGCTTCTACTAACAGTAATTCTTATTTACATATTCAACTTGATACAGAGTAACGAGACATTCTGCATGAATAGCTCAATCCTTCTGGTTCTAGTACACTTATGTATAGTATGTTGCGATAACAGTGTTTCAAAGTTGACTCTCACTACTGGGATATCGGAAACGGTAACAGATACGAAATGTGCTAAATGGAGGCAAAGTAGCGCATCCAAGTGGCTAAAAAATGGCACATAAAAAATTAAGCATTTCCGGAGATGATGACTGAAACTGAATTTTCCCAAAATGATTGAATACTCAATTCAGTCAAATTTAGTTTTATATAAAAACAAAGAGCAAACATTTATCAAAAATGGAATTTTTATTTGTGCTACTTTGATTCCTACATCACATGTAGGAGTTTTTGTCATTAATGTTGCAGATAGGTACAAGATCGTACCCAATCCTTCTGACACCTTTAGGAGGTACGCCGATTCATTTTGCCGGTAAATTATCTTCATTACCACCCTCATAATTGATTACGTTATCATGTAAAACCTTTTCTGTTCGGCCTCCAAGAGCCAGAGATCTGCCAACATAAGAAGAGAAACAGATATTGTTTCTAACCTGCAAAGAAGATTACCTAATTATATAAAGCTTAAATACTCGTATATAAATAGGCTCACAAAAAAGATCAATCGAAACATTATGAACTGTCCGGATCGGCTAAATTGGGACAAGGTTGAGCATTTAGGGTATCAAGAAATCGACACCTAGGCAGTTCGGAAGTTGAGGGGAAGTAAACAATCGATTAATCTTGTTGACCTTGAGACAGTTCAATCAAAACAAGTTCCTTATTTTTGCCCTTCATCTTTTTCAACTCCGATGACTCAGTATCATCAGTTAGGTGTCGTTACAGAACGAGCTTTATTATTTTACCTTTTAGTAGTGTCATACTGGAGATTTTCTTAAATAAGAGCGTTTTAATTTTTGATCTCTACTTCAAATCTTTAAATAGTGTCAGTCAATTCCCTAACAGGCAGATTATCTCAAATGGCAACATAAAGAACGTCAATATTACGATACTTTGTATGTATCTTGGAGAACGAAAACGTCGCTCATCTGAAGAAGTAATTTCCCACTTTTGGTGAGTTAGGCTTGAGTTATGTTTGTCAGCCGGTGAAGTTTCTATCTTGATTAAAGGCGTCGATGCATCGGAGTTTCAAATTTTTTCAAGCATATTATATGTTGTCCTTTGAGAGTATCTTTACGTCCAGATTAAAAATAATATATTTTGTTTCGGCCAACAAATCGATATAGATTCAAATTAACTTTGGAATAAAAAACTAACGTGGACCGACTTACCATCGGGGATTTTAGTTGCGGCTTTATTTTGCGAAGCACTGTGTTCAGGCAAGATTAGGGAATGGAATGAGCTGGAACTGGACCCTCATGCAATAATATCCAAAACCCGACGCTTATGATATTGCTTCTTATTACTGGCCAGACTGGTGATCCCACTGATTCACGTGAACCTTATTTCAATGTAGACGTCGTGGTATCATCTCTACTAAAATTATGTATGCAAAAGTGTATGTGTGTTTGTATGTTCGGTTTCCACGCCAGAACGGTTGAACCGATTTCGATCAATTTTGGCATGAATATAGATTATGCCCTAGAGAGGGACATATGTTGCATTATACTGAGGTGAATTTAGCTTGAGAGGTTGAGATAGGGGGCAAACGTTACTAATATTCTATAAGATAATCAAATATGAGCGATAACGGCGTTTACAAGTTTGTACCGAAAGTTCTTTGTTTTTTCTACTTGAATTAACAGGAAGGTAGTTTATAGACAGCCACTGTCATTTGAAAACGAATTTTGCAACAAGGTCTTGAGGGATATTGACAAGCTTACTTTTGATATTCTCTGGAGTTTTCTGCTAGGTACCCTGAACGGACAATAATGAGGTTTTCTGGAGTAGACCAGAAATAAGATTGGATTTAGTGACATGGACGAAGGAAGTTTTAAGACCTGACACAATTTTCTATCTTATGTTTACAATTTGATGCATATCTACCTTCTATAACTAAACTAGGCAGGTATTTTTTTCAATATGAAATTTGATTTAATTTCAGTTAATTTCAAAATTATGGTTATTTTAAAAATGCTAAGCGGACGAGGTCGTGGGTAACAATAATCTAAGCATGAGGATACTTGCAGTTTGGAATAGGGCATCCGAAAAGATCCATAGTCCTAAGACAGTGTGGCTAAAACAGTATTTTTAACATAGTAATATTCATTTTGTTTACAGGTTGCAAAGCAAGATCAAATCCCAGCTACTATTTGTAAGTACATCGATTTTTTGCTCGTTATCTTTGACATACTCATAATACTATTAGCCTAGAAGCAGCTATTGAGGCAACGTGTGCCCTCATACGTGCCTTCAGATTAAATTCCGGACGTTTTAAGTACTTATGGGAGTATATAATAATAAAATAAAGTGATGAAGTGATCCAGCTCGTGATTGTTTGGTCGCCATATTCAAAAATCGCAGGCAAGACATAAAACAAATATAATTCCCAATTAAACGTGTTTTTAATAATCCAATAGTTAATGAAATATACCAAGATTCAAATATTTATCAGTTTGTGCTGGTATCTAAATAACACTACTTTAAATGGTCTTTTGTTGTATAGTGAAATCCGATTCCAAACAATACATTGTATTCGCAAAGTAGTAAACATAAAAAAAATAAATAATAAATTTTTCGAAATCTATGATGCACCACTAAGGTCACGTGTGCTCCTAGTCTGAATGCGGTGCATTTTGATCCAAATCGAAGTGTTTTGAAAGTCATCTTACTCGTTCTTTAAAGATAATATATAAACATAGCCTCCTAATAAGAGAACACTGACGCTGACACGGAACAGTAGAAATCTGGAAATACCACAGCCTTTGAAGGAGAGAAAAGGCTATGAAAATCAAGGAGGTCATAAAGTCGTCATACAACTTGACTTTCATAGTTTTTCTTGTTCTTCAGAAACGCAGGGATATTTCTAGGTTTTTCCATTTTCCTGTATGTGCTCTATATTCATTTTATATTTTCTATTTGAAGTCTATGAAATTCCAGTGTGATAAAATATTACCTCAAAACAGGAGAGCGCTGACGCTGATACGGAACAGTAACAATCTGAAGAAGAGAAAATACTATGACAATCAAGAAGACCATAAAGGCGTCCTGCAATTGTAAGAATGACTGATGATACGGCCCTTAGATCGCATGACTTCATTTCTTATATACCCCCACAGGTGCTTAAAAATATCAAACTGAGCGGCACATATCATGCTCCGTGGCTGCTCTTAGACTATGTGTTTTTTCAGACGTGTTCTCTTTCTGTTTGTCTATTTTTAGGTGTAGATATCGAACCGTGAAACTAGCAACCTAATTTCATTATAGCTTTAATAGCAAATCATACCTTTTCATAACTTTTCCGAAGCTTAAAGAGTGTGCTGACGATAAAGTAAGAATTTCACAAAGGAAGTTTAATAACTAGTTTCCTGTCACCTAAAAGTCGTAGTTTCCTTTGCAGCTGAACGTTATTGCTGTATCGTAGTTTCATGAATCAAGCGTTGGTGTCTTCCATTACGAGCTTCGTAATTGGAGTACCTGCTTGCTGCTAATGAACAGCGATTTATATCAAAGAAACTCGGCAACGAAGCAGCTGAGAGTGACACTAGCAACATAGAAACAACATTGTGCCTGAATCAATTATCAAACAATATCACTTTGTTCGTTGCATTATGCGAGCAGCGTGAATTTATATAGAAGAAAAAAATACAAACCACCCTACGATCGTTTCCTACAAAAATAAGCTATGCACAACGAAGCAATAAATTGCACACTCATAACTGGGAAGTAGTATTTTTGTAGAAGTTGATTCTCTAGGCGAACAAGGATAATTACTTGGAAATGGGTAACATAAAAAAATGAGGCCTAAGGCAGGTTTGAACTATTGAGTATGCCTATTTTTTGGCGTCCAATATAATAATGGCATAGATAATAGAATCGGCAAAGACAAATCTGTCGATTATATACCAACAAAATGGAGAAACATAAAACGGGAAAATTGTTTGGTTCAATTTACGTCAACAATAGTAATTGTCAGAAAACATTTTTTGAAAATTCTTCATAATGATACCAACAACTCAAAATTACGAAACACCTTATTTTGATGATACAGTAAACTGCACATATCTAAGTTAGATTGCCCTTCAAAAACATTACCTTCGTGACAATATTATACAGTGCTAAGATGATTAGTTTTGATAATTATACAAAAAAGTAAGTTTTTTACGCTAATTAAGTTTGCCTATATTCATATCACGGGTGACATTGTGTAAAAAAGGTAGGCTACTTGATGATCGGTTGCCTGGGACATGAAAATGATGTTTTTGCTTATTTACACATAAATTTCGTCGTGCTTTCGTCTTCAGGTAGGAAAACTTATTCAATTCGTTTGAGAAGTAAATATTCTTGGAATGACGTCTTATTCAAGGCTGATGGATAGAGATATTACAAAATTTACGAAATAACGAAGTAGGCCCACACCGCCTCACCTTAAGCGCAAGCATTTTAATCACGGACACTCGACACGGATGCTCGTGATATAGCAACAATGGTTTAGACACCTTTTACTACGATTTAACTCATTCGATTATAGTCTAGGTAGCAGTGGACAAAGAGAGGGGATGCGAAGCAAGAAATTTTCGGAGTCTCGTAGTCGGCCGTCGAGGTCCATGTCTTATTTTCAAGATATCGTATTTTTTTATACCGAAGCAGCCGCGCAGGCAGAGGTCTAAATGTCGGGGCACCGCGACTGCTCTGATGATCTCAAAGAAATTTGGTTAAAACGATTTTTGAACTGCCTAAGGTTAGTAAAACTGGGAAAAGCTTGATCGTCGACGGAAGAGTCATCGATCAATCGGACAATGTAGTTGGGGCGACAGAACCCCAAACGTGTGAGCAATACTCGAGGCTAGGCCTTATCTGGGCCTTGTTTAGAGTGAGAAGGTCATGCGGAGAAAAGTACGTCTTAGCCCTAAACAAATAGCCTAGCTTTTTCCCAGCAGCTGCCGCTATTGACGAGATGTGTTCGTACCAGATCAGGTCCTCGTTGATCTGGACTCCGACCAGCCGAAATGAATGGCTCTTTGACAGAACTCGGCCATCCATCGAAACAGGATGAGCGGTAAGACGCTTTTTGTTCGTCAAAGTACAGTACTGTGTTTTGGAAGCATCAAACTGTACAAGAATGTTGCGTCCCCAAGCAGTGATAACCTCTAGGTCTCTCGTCAGAGAGGAAGTCTTTGCTAGTCTTCTTTTTTCCAGCTCAGTTGCAGAGATCGGGTTGTCGCTCTGAATTCCCGCATGTAGAGTGCTGTCATCAGCGAAGCGGCGGATTGGGTTGATCGTGCAGGAAAAGAGGTCATTGATATGTAAGAGGAGCAGTGTCGGAACCAAGACCGATCCCTAGAGAACACCCGCGTTGACGTTGTGGGATAAAGAGAGGAACCCGTCAATTACGACCGATATACTGCGGCCACAGATAAAGTCAGCCACCCATCTGCAAAACTCCTCTTGGAGGACATATGATGAAAGTTTGCTTAAGAGGGCAGCTTGCCACAGCTGATCGACTGCTTTCGTGATGTCAAGAGCAGCGACATGAGCCTCACCATAAGACTGGATGAGTTTACTCCATAATTGCGTTACGTAAGCTAGGAAGTACCCTGTGGATGGCTGGTACCAGAAACCATCACCTTACTTATAACAGAAATTAGTGCTATAGGCCTGTAGCTGTCAGGGTTGGGCTTAGATCCTTTTTTTGGTATGGGTTGGACATGAGCAAATTTCCAGTTTTCTGGGAACGTGCCGGATTCATAAGAATCTGGAAGTGACGCGAAAGAACTGGAGCAAGCCCCGCTGCACACCTCTTTTCTACAATGGCAGGAATCAAGTCCGGACCAGAGACTTTGTTGATGTCGAGCGACAAGAGCACTCGTCTTGCAGGAACCCTATGAATTGACGGCACTTGGGCGTTGGGGGGGACGTCCATGGTGAAGTTGGCCGCAAAGATCTTGGCAAGCACTTCCGCCTTGGTCTTTGAGTTGGAAACAATCGTTCCATCCTGACACGTAAGTGGTGGAAGGCTACTGTATGAGAACTTCTTTTCAATATGCTTGGCCAGCGTCCAGAAAGACCGACTGGCATTGCGCTGCGACATTACCCTGTGCCTAACTTTATTTCGTGCTGGTTTTTGGCATTGCGAACCGCTTGGTTATATTTGTTTCTGTACTCGACATCGGCTTGTCTGTTCTCTACAGTGGGGTTCTGTAAGAAGGTTCTCTGTGCCTTGATCTTCCGCTGGCGAGCAGTGTCACACGATTTGTTAAACCAGCCGTTGGACCCTAGTTTAGGCACTTTCTCTGAGACCCTCCCAGTCGGCATGTGCGTAATGCCAAGTTTTGCGGCATATACGAGTTTCTGCTGACGCAGCGGATTCTGATCAAAATCTAACCTCCTCAACATCGTGGTCTGAGTTACCCAAGGGGGACAGGACAGCAGTGCTGTAAGGGACAGCACGCGAGGTCAGAAAGGGATCCAGCAGGCTACTGGCATGTGGCGAGACGCGGGGGAAAAAGTAGGGCTTGTCACCATCTGGGTCAGCCCTTGAGTAAGAGCGAATTATGGGCATTGAAATCACCGAGAAGGACTACCTCTGAAGCGGGGTGAATGATGTTCACGGTGTCGATCTTGACGGCGAGGTATTCGAGTAGGTCATCCCAGTTATGATCCGAGGGAGAGTGATAAAGGCAGCAAATAAGTTTGGGTGATCTTTTGGAGTTGAGTCGAAGCCGCGGAATGTCCTTCCGGTCTGATTCCAAAGAAACATCTCTGGAGCAGGAAAGACTGCTGCGGACAAAAGCCACAACTCCCACGTTCTTTCTCAGATTGGAGTGCACCTCATGATTTGGGAAGCTAAGATGGTTAGTCGGTGCAGACTCTGAGATTTTTTTCTCCACCTAGAAAAGCATGACGGGAAGATTGGATTGCAGGTAGTGATGAATAGCATCAATGTTGCAGTTAATCTCGCAGGTGTTCGTGAAACAAATTTTATCTTCGATATTGCCCTCGAGTCCACCCTCCACTCGAACATTCCGAGAGTTGAGTGAGTTTACGTCCGGAATTCTTAGTGCTTGAGGGACCCACCGTCATTAATTTCCTTGTTTTGGAAGATGACCGACTGCATAATTTAGGTGTGGAAACATGCGAACATTTATAAGACAC